ATTATTCATGTTACGTATTGGATAAGCATGCAAGCAGGTGTTAATAAAATAGTGAATAGTCTAAAGTCTACTTCTGTGAGTTCAAGCTTGCACTTTTTAAGTTCAGCAAACTTGAATGTCAGTAAATTTCAATTGCTAAATATTCTCATAGAATATGTGCTGGAGCTGTATTTATTTATTTATTTATTTTACACGTGTGATAGAATAATTGCAGAGTTTTTGCAACAATATCCTGCCAAGCTTTTATTTGCTACATAATAGGGATTTTTTTTTGTTGTCTTGTTTTTGGTTTTTGTTTCTTTTGCATGATCACTCTATTAGGCACAAGCTCCAAGTTATTTATGGGGAAAAACACCAATGATGAAACAAAAACTAGAACACAGATGACATGAACAACTTCTTGAATTTTTTATGATACTTTGGAAAAACAAAACAAATTGAATTGTTCAGACTAAGATACTGTATTTTTCTAAATCTGCAAATAAAAAAAGGATAGAGAAATTCCTCCAAAGTGAAAATTTGCTACAGCTTTGAATTCCCAGCAATCTGAAATATGTAATTAATATAAAATAAGTCTGCATTTCCGTGGAATGCAAGGGCTGAAATGAATGAAAAACGCGAAAGAAAGTCTGTGGTAATTTTTTTTTTCCCATGAAAAATGGTAATTCATGGAATGTGACATTTTTCTTATCTTTTTATGTAGACATTTCCTTTACTGTAAAACCATTGAAGAACAGAGAGAAATGCACAAAGCCTGGAAAACCTAGAGACTCCTAATCATCATTCAGAGCACCTACCTTTGACACCAGCTTTCACTCTCTGGTATCGCTATTTTAAAGTTGATCTAATACTGTTGCCCTGATCTAATACTGTCTTTCCCCTCTCCATCCCACCCAGAACGGATCATTTCCACCCTCTCTGTGACATCAGCTATAGTGACCTTTTCAGGCATGGGAAGGTCAGGTCAATCCACTGATGTTGCTTAAAACTTGTGATGTTCTTCCGGGGTTAACTTTAAATTTGTTTACTTTAGTAATAGAAAAGAAGCAGCTGAAATGTGTTGAAAGCTGGACCACACATCTCAGCATCAGATTGCTTTTAGATCAGCTTAAATTCATCATGAAACTGAACTTAACCAAGATGCCTAAATAGGTTGGTATGAATAGACAGCCTTTGGTTTCCTCACTTCAATAGAAAATGCTGATGATGTGAAATTTCTCAGCCAACTCTGACTTGGGTTTTTATTCACTTTTCTTGCTTAATAATTTTAAATGGCAAGGGATATATAGAATATTTTTTCACTGTAGTTTCTGCTACATCTGTTGAACATAAGTTCCAGAATCATATTTATCTCCTCTTACTTCCTCAGCTATTGTCCCTGTTTTCAATCACTCACTTTACCATAGTGCTGTCTATCATTGGTAGATATTACTGTCAAGACTTATATTGATACATATATTTTCCTATTTATAACAGAAATAGTAGTTCAAAGCTTAGCAGAAAAAGATTCCACTTATCATACTCCCAAAAAAACTCTTAAAACCTTCTCGTATTCAGCCTCAGATGAATCCTCCATCGTTGCCCAGAATGTTTTTCCTTTACAAGAAGTAACACCATTTTCTTCAACATCACACGTTTCTCTGATATTACTCAGGCTTCTCTGGAGCTGTGCTGTAGTGCTGTGCTTAAATCCCACAATTTTTTCCATTATAGAGTCTGCAATATGCAGTTTCTTTTTACCTTGTGAAATGCCTGCTATATCTCAAAACTATGTCTTTTTTCCTCTCAAACTTGACAAAAGGAAGGAGATTCATTGAAAATTCTGCTGCAAAGACTGATTTTCTCATTCTTGTCTTTGACAGACTCATCCCTTTCTGTGCATCAACACACAGCCTTCCTGTTCTTCAACCCCTACAGGGCAGTGTCCTGCTCTTCCCACTCAGGCTTCCTTCCACATTGCTTCTCCCACTCATCTCTGTGGATCAGGTTTAAGATCTTGCCTCCGCTTCCTGTAGCATTGAGATGCTAGCATCTATCATCCACCTGTTAGCATTTTGGAATACGGCTTTCCACGTCTGCTTTTCACATAGTGAGAAGGCCATAGGTTCTACCTGTGAACCTATGCAAAGTTACCATACTATCTGCCTGTAAACCCTTCCTTAAAATTCTCCTGTGCAAATTTTTCTGCAAATCTCTTGAGAGCAGCTAGATCCTCTCAATGTCTGTCAATCCATCATGTTGATCAAACTAGCTTTACTGTTTCTTGAACTTCTCAGTTTGTAACCCCTCTACTACAAGGGACTTGCTGTATGTACCCTTACATTTAAAGGATTTGGGGAATCTTAACCTATGTCAGAGTTTTCAACTGCTATGGTAAGAAGAATCAATCACTATAATAGAATAGTAATTACTAATTTAAGAGTATAAAAAATAATATACCATAACCAAATCCAAATTCTTTTATTATTATCAAAACATTACATTTACAACCGGACAACTTTTAGTGTTTTATCAAATTAAAAATCTCTTTATCTATTTAAAAATCTCTTTATTCTTTCAATAAAAATATTACAACAGTACTAAAATCTTGGCAGAGTTTCTGTACTTGAATATTGCAAACAATGGAGAATGCACATTGGTATAAATGTCACTGGATGGCATGTGAAGAAGAGATGCTTTCTTCCACTTCCTTTGGTACAGGCCTTAGTCAGAGAAAAAGGCCATGAATGGCTACAGAAGTTGCTGCTGGTGTTATTATGGTAGGAATTCTAAAAGCATTTTACATTTATGCAAAGGAGAGATCAAGTTATCTAATTATCTAAGAACAAAGATATAACTAATTGTAAATTTTAAGTGGATGTATGAATAGAGAAAAAACACTGTTTTTCCAGATTAGACTATTTTTTTTCTTACTATACCTCACCTTGAACATAAGGTTGTGCAACTCTCTGGGTCCATACAGACATTAGGCTGATGCTCTGTGTAGAAGACCCCCTTACTCAACCTCCACCTTCCAGGATAATCTAGACACAGTAGCAGCAGTCTAACAGGATGTTCCTTCATCAGTGATGCCGTCAGAAAGAGCCGCTGTGTGACCTCAACATTTGGGCAAAATGCCCCCATAAATAGAGTAAACAATAAAATAATTTGTGATTAATCTACTACAGTTCTAATGCTTCTCCAATTCAGGTCAGAAATGGTGATGATTCCTCAGAGAAAGCAAACAAGGTCTGGGGAAAATGGAGACATCCCATATCTTCATTAGCCTTATTTTAGCAGATCAAAAAGATTCTGAGTCTAGAAAGCAGATGAACTAGATCTAGTAGTAATCCATGAGGACAGTCCTTATTCAGAGTAATCTAAGTTTTTAAGGTCCTTGGGCTTTTCAGCGTCATTTTAGATGCTGGAGAAGAGACACACCGCTCTAGGGAACCTGTTCAGAGCTTCCTCAGGGCTCCAGTCCCTTCATGCTGCTCAGGTCAGGTATGGCCTATGGCAGAGCTAGGGGATGAAGTGGTCAACACTTATGACTTTATATATTGAAGGGAAGCATGAAGGAATGATTTAACAGATATATTTGTGCCTGCAGAAATTTATGGGCATGTTGATATTCTGTGCCAGGACTTTTGAGCTGCTGGCTTATATCCTTGCCAAAAGTCATGGAGCTCAGATTTACACGGAGTATATTTGTCATTAGGGTTGGTATTCATCAAATGTAACCTTGGTATCTTGTATTACTAAATGTCTCAATGCGAGTTGTTTTAATTTTTTCCAGAGATAACTCTGGAATTATCTTTAAAGCACTCAACATTCAATCCCCCTCTCCTGTTTTGCCTTTGCTCAACTCCCAGCTCTCTGTGTTGAGTGTGATTGGTGACATTTCTAAAGAAAGGAATCATGGCCGAAAGTTGTCTCACTGTCGGTGTCCATACTGTTATGGTATGGAGGTGATTTTTTTTTCATTTGAAATACCACAAATGTTTTGTCTTCATATCACACCACTATGTGATGCCTGCAACTTGAGGGACTGGCCTCTACGAGCCCCTGGCATATGGGTTTTATGCATTAGGGTCTGTAAAGGAGATACCACTTGCAAAGATTTACAGTGTGCCAGGACTGTGTGCCAGATGGTAAAAGCCATATGAGTTGCAGAGCTCTTAAGAGATTTTTTTTTTAGTTTGTTTTTGTTTATCATAGAGAATACGCTTCTGGGTTCATAAAGTTTCAGCATGTTCTGCCTACTGCGTCATGGAGAAAAATATTAACTCCATCCCGAATCCAGGCCACCGGGTGTTATAAAAATAGTATTTAAAAAAGGAGGTAGGCTGGCCGTTTCCTGGGACAGAAAAAACAGTTGGTTTAAAATACATTCTTGCTATTTTGATACTAAAATGGATTGTTACTGCTGTTATTCTCTGAAATGATTTATTCAGAAGATTAACCAGAGTTCCTTGAAAGAAGTATATTTAAACACTCTGCTTATCCTGCTCACCCAGAAAGGCAATTTTCTTGCTATAAAGAATTACTCACATTTGGGTTGGACCATATGTTCACACAGTATCACGGAGGGGCTTCCCCTGTCACAAAGACAACAACTGGTGTAATTTAGAAAGCCCTCGCATTTTGAGGTTGCAGGCCAGGGGGAAGCCAGTGTAACTCATGGGACGCTCCGGACTAGCAAGAACTCCAGAGTTCAAGACAGATCTATTGCAATAAAAAGGACACAGCTCCGAGGCATTCAACCGGAGCCGGAGCTCGGTGGGCGCGGGCTCGGGCAGGTGCCGCGGCAGCGCCCCGAGGTGCCGCCAGGTGTCGCCCTCTCGGGCGGCCGGGGCACAGCGGCGGCGGGGGGCGGCGGGCGGGGTGGCCGCGGCCCCGCCGGGCAGCGCTGGGGCTGGGGCGGGGGTAGAGCCGCCGCCGTGTCTTCCTGTTTATTGTACTTCAAATAGCTGACCTTGGGACAGCCGCGGCCCCGCTCCGAGCGGCAGCGCTCCCGGCCCGCCGCGGCCTTATCAGCCGTTTGTTTAGCTGGGTGGGAAGTCGAGCCCCGCCTGCCCGGGCCGGGATTTTTCCATCAGCCCCGCTGGATTTTTCTAGGCGCTTCGTAACAAAGTCTCTTGACGCGCGGGGTATGCCCCGGTTTTAGAATTTATGTCCTCGCGGCTCCGTTGGGGAGCGCAGTGCCGCGAACGCGATCGGAGCTGGCCCCGAACTACACCCAGAATGCCGCAAGTTTATATGAAAATGAAGTAATCGCCGGTTCAGCATAAAGATCTATATTAAAACCCCCAGTTTATGCTCTGAATCTGACTAAAAGTCTCTTCAGCTAGACTACAGCTACTGTTGACATACAGGCTATGGACGCGATCCAGGAAAACAAGATATTTTGAGACCGGTGGAGGGCATCTAAAGTTTGTGTTGCTTACTGGTAAAATTATTCATTTTTGTTGAAACTTGCAATTCCTGGCTGAACCGTGCTGTGATAAATAGAGGTAAAACGTGGTTGGCTTGACTCTTGATAGTAAGCTGCATACTGCTTTGTGTGAGTGAGAGATCAGTGCTGCTTGTGGAGGCGTCCCAGTCTAATCCCTGCCGTAGACGAAATTGACAGCACAGCCACATGGCGTGCACGGCAGATGAACTGCATGAATGCTTTAGATTTATATGAGTAAATTCGAAGTGTAAATCAGTAGCAGGAATTCTGTTGTAACCACCAAAAATAACCACCCCTTGTGCCAGTTCTCTTCCATGTTTCCTGATGCGTCTTCGTTTTCTTTCCCTTTATGTCTACTGCAAAACATGGAAACTTTTAGTCAGTCTCTCAGCTGCTTCAGGGATTTTTTATTTCTTTTTTTTTTGCTAATCGAGCTGACCCAGTCTTGTTTTCAGGCACCTAGGCCTGATACAGTTCAATGGACATGGCCATTTATGCTCAGAATGCAGTGACAAGCCTCATTTTACTCTTAGTTGTTTGTAACCAGTTTGCTAACTTAAATGTGCCATTTTACATACTTTAGTGATTTTTTTTTCCTTTTCCTATTCCTTTTCTATGCAGTAGTTAAAAAATTTACCTTCAAACAACACATATTACACAGGCCAAAGTATTAAGTGTTGAGGATCTCCCAGTCAGACCCAAACTTACAGCTGCTGATAGAAGGTGTGAAGCCAATTTTTGATACAGCTCTGCATGCAATTTGCATGTGGGACAGGCATATATGTGAATGAGTTATCACACAGAAGCCCTTTACAACCAAGCAAGCACATGTATTCCAGAAGGGAACAGATCCATAAACAGAGAAAGCAAGTTTATAGAGAATAGTCCTTACCAAACAGATCAGGTTGGGTTTTTTTTAATAGAAAAACCTTTGGAGCTGTTTTTCAGAAGTTTGTGCAGCTGTTAGTTTAGTTGGATAAAAGGAGGTTTTGGCTTTCAGTGTAAGGTAAATATTTTCAGGGATCAAAGAAGTGGAAAATGGGGGCAAGGGGGTGTGTATCTTAAGAGCTCCGCTCTACTCAGCTCTGAGTGGGCTGGTATCTAAACAGGTATTGTGTCTATGTTTGTGTCTACCACACAGCTAATACCCTACCAATGAATGAAAATATATATCAACTTACGTTTTGGATAACGTGAATAAAACATATTCAGAAAGCAAACCTTAGAAATTTTTGTTTTCGTGGTCTCCTTTCTCCCTCATGACTTCAAGAGGTATGGTGTCTAGCCTGATGTCTTGGCACACTTTTATCCACTGACAGAAATGCTTTGAACTTCATTTGGAGGGATTCTGGTTAACCACTAGGTAGAGGTTGAGAAATTCTCCATTCATGTGGAGATGAGCCCTCAGTTGCACTCAGAGATTTGTCTTAAAAGCAGATATAAGGATCTGTTGGGTGTTTTAGCTGTCTTCAGTTTTGAGAAGAGGATTTTGGGATCTAGCCACAAACGTTCATAAAACAGAGACACCTCTCAAGCAACAGCCAGAAGCAAGTGCCTAAACCTGAATGCATCTTGCGAGGTGAGGGATGGAGGCCCCCATGGAGACCTCTCACAGCTTTTTCCCAACTCTGGCCCAAAGTGACACCGCTGCACCATACTGTAGCTGTCCTTGGGTACAGGCAACCAAGCTTCCAAGAATGGAATCGGAGGGAAGTTGTAGAACCCCTAGGTGCATTCAGGCCCTGATTGACTTCAGCCATCATGTCTTTACTGAACACAAGAATCAAAACAACTGCCCTGAGATTTTTACACTGTTCCTTGAGGTTTTCTTTATACACAGCTAGGAGAATGAGATGTAACTTATCCCTGGCACAGAAGAGGAATAAAGCATGACACTGTCATGTAGACCACAAAGGCCTCACACGGCTTTAAGCCCGAAATCTGATGGTTCATTGACAATCAGATTGCAAGGACTGTCTCAGCTTCCTGCTTGAACTAAATACTTCATCTGGATCCCCATGCTTTTTGTCCTTACTTTCATGAGTCCTTGAGAGTTCCTGGTTCTTCTGTCAGTCCTTGTGGCAGCCACATTCTCTCCACCAAGAGCTTGCATTTGTTAGTTTCTGGTACAGATGTCACTAGGCTTCGTCCTGTGCTGCTCTGTATTTATGGAAACCCTCTCTTGAAATTATTTGGAGAGCCACTCATGCTCTCCTCCTTCAGATCTTCTGCCTTAAGATTCCTCCTAAGGAGGATGCATTTAGAAAATCATCCAATTACTCTAATGATGGCTAACCTGAGGGGAAGGTAGGAAGAAGGTGGGGCTTTTTTAGGTACTGTAATATTTAAATGATAATTATGTGTTTCTAAAATGGTGTAAACTTGAGATTCTATTTTTTTCACCAATCACTCCATTTCATAAGTTGTATTAGTTCTTTATGTGCAATCTCCATTTAATTTGGTCTTATAATAATTTTCCTTCACTAAATAAAAGAGCTGATTAAGAACATCTTACTGATGCCTCTGATTCAGAAAAATAGACAAATATGTCTTAAACATCTTTGTTGAACTGGAACCAAAATTACTAGTACTATTTGTAGTATAATTTTTGCCTGTATGATTTTGTTACCTTTTTCTTAATTGCAAAAGATTATTTCTTTCTCTGCCAGGGATTTGAGCAATGACAGTATATGACCCATCAGGTTAAGCTATGAGACAATCTTTTTGCACTTTCATGGAAATTTTATTTTTCCTGTTTGCCTTAATTTAAACATCATCACTGATTTTTCATGAGGAAGAAAAAAGGTCACTGACAAAGATGACAATAGTTAGTAGGTTCTACCCAATGTTAAGGTGTCCAACCTGCCAGCAGCCTAGTATTTCTTTAAACAAATATGCCAGAGGGCTTATGTCCAGAACTGGAAGACTTCAAGTACTCCTAAAGAATGGAAGAGAGGGCAATGAAAGAGTGTCACAGGTTAATGCGCAGAATTACTTTGAATAAGTAGGCTTTTGAAAGAGCAGTCTCAAAAAATATGCTGCTTCCTGAGAATGCTCTGGATGGAAAAGTGACAGAAAATGAATAGGACTGAAATTCTTCACGTTGTTGCAGGACACATAAATGAGACAAAGACTATGTCTGGATTTTGCAGAGATTAACATCCAGTCATATACTTATCTATAGCTGGTACTTGTACCAGCACATAGCTTTGTTGACAGGCCAGAATATCAAAAACTCATGGAGTTTATTGGTTGTTTGTGGATTATCTGAAGAAACTGTTTGATAACAGTCCGCAATTGTTTTGAAACAATTTCAGGCACATTCACTAAAGCGTGTTAGAACTACTGCTTATCTCCCAGTATCAAATAGATAAACAAGGCTTTTGTGTGTACATTTGAAAAAGCACTGGAGAAAATTTGCAAATACAAACTCTGTATCAAAGTCCACCATACCGGTAACTTTATATGAAGTCTTTTTAGACTTTATGATTTATTACAGATATGATTTATTTTGCACAGGAACTAGGTAAATATGGTAGAGGAAATAGAATCTGTAATATATACCTCCCAGACATTCTGTATCTGTCAGTAGCATGTGCCTAAAATTACAAAGGATGAAACAATTAGGACAAAGGTATTGTCAAGAAGGTATATTACTGGGAGCATGGCATAGCCGTTTTTGGGGAAAAGGGCATAATAAAGAAATATACTGACCAGCTGTTACCAGACAAAAAGGTTTAGGAAGAACAAAGTATGCTGAAATTAAAGCTGATGTCCATGCAGTTACTAGGGAGGAAAATTATGCTTTTTATTGGCCTGAAGGGGTTGTAAATGAGAATGTTACAGTAGAATGTGAATGTTTTAATACAGATGAAGGGCTGAGAAAGAACAAATGCCAATTCCCCTCCTAACAAGCTACCTTCAGCCATAGGGCAAATACAGAATCAAAGTTATGTATAAACATGTCGTGGGAACCATGTTGGGTGTATGTTACATGTGGCTCTCTTATTTGTAAATCCATTAAAATGAACAATGATTAATACATATATATTATGTATGAATATATAAAACAAACTCCTGATTTATAAAGACTTTTAGTTATGCTTAATCAAAGCATGTATTTAATTCCCACTGAAGTAAGCTGTGCTTAAACCTTGCTTGATGTGGGACTTAGGCAGTTACTTTCCTTTTCCGGGCACCTTAACATTTTTTGAAACTCACATTTTGCAAGAAATGTTACAGAACAGTATTTTCTCGTGAAGACTTTGTTATTGTTCCCATTTTCTTTCATCTAAAATAAAAATAACTCATGCTGAAAATGCAGTCTGTGTATACTGGCAATTAAAAACAAATCAGGAAATCACTCTGCTATATTAAATCACACATGCCTAGTTACAATTTAACATGCTGAGGAATGAAACCAAATTCCACCCTGAAGTATCAAGCACTGCTTTTGTAAACACTAGGTTTCTCATTCAGTGTAACTTTTTTTGTCCCCCATGCTTATACCATTAATGTATGCATCCCAAAATTCCTGTGGAGACTGAAATTATTGGGTTGCCTACCAGTAAATACATGTGGTTCCTGTTTAAAACGATGTTCCAGGTAACTTAAAATAAGAAATCTTGGAGAGTGGCCAGGTTTGCTTTTTCACATGAGAGCAAGATATCTTGCAATTGGCTATGCTTCTTTAGTAAAAAGGTGTCAAGAGGAGACATTAAAAAGAGAGGAAGCAGGAGAGAGAAAGAGTTTATGGGAACCTAACACAGCACACTAGGTCCAAGTTCTGCCTTTTTTTCACTGAAGCAACCCTACTAAAATAACCACTGCTGGAAATAAACCTTGGTTTATAAAGATATTCAGTAAACAAAAAATAACTGATGTCACAGTACCTCAAAGTGGAGGAGATGCACCAAAGATGCTGATGTAGGACATTCAGCCAAGCTTTTTAGTTGTTCTCATCAAAACAAGTTAATTCTCTTGTTTTTCACGGATCTATGTCAACTGCTGTTTCTCTTTCTACGCAGTGAGAGAGTATACAGAGTTTATGTAAAATGTTTTCTATGAATAAGCACAGAGTCATGAGTCTGGGATCCAAAGAACCTGTAGGCAGTTGGTGAAGTCTGTTGTGGAGAATTAATATTGAAAAGGATAATGATTATTATTAATACTGACTTCTGAGGGAATATTGAAACAGGCCTAAATGTAGGTAGCAAATTCATATGACTGCAATACAATATGACAGTAAAAAAAGGACAGTGTAATTTGATGCTGCACACAGCGAAGCAGTATCAGAGAGGAAGGAGAGAGCTGCAGTAAGGTGCCAGTGTAAACAGTACCTGGAATTCCCTTTTTAGATTGCTGGCCAGGATGCACTGCCAGATAGGTGACACCCAAAGAGCAGCAAAATACCAGCGAAATGATGAAGATAAAACTACAGTCTTGAGAACGCGTTGTTTTGCTGAGGATGGCTGAAGAGAAACATGTTTTAAATACCAAAGAAGTGCAAGGATAACAATTAAAGAACATGTGGAGCTTTTTAATACGAGAATAAGAGCCTGATGTCAGGGGCACTCAGTGACTGTGTTGATCTTACATACATTTTTCTCTGCCTCTATCATTTAGACTAGCTGCTAGATATGATGGGACTGCAGTGAACTGTCTCAGGAGACTGGTCATTTGTGATACTTGCAATTAGCCTCCTCAAAATATTAGAACTATAGCCTGTAGAGGATATGCCTGCAGGCAGAGGGGAGTTATAACAGGCGCCATTCGAGTCTGTCTCAGCCAGGGAAGCTGGCAAGGCAGCTTGTGAGCTGGCGCACCAGTGAAGCCCCTTGTTCTTTGGGTGTATCATTCAAGACAGACAGGGCCAAATTGCTGCTCAGGCAGAGTAGGCAGTAGCCAACAGCAGTAGCAGAGCCAACAGCTTTGCCTATGCCAAAGGGCATGAGGGCTGTTTGTAAGAGGAGAACATGGTGCATAAACAACAAATTCCTGCCCCTTCTCCTCGTCCTCCTCTGCTCTGTGGCTGAGAAAGGGGTGAGAGTTTGCCAGAAGACAAGCAGCACTAATCCCTGTCTTCACAGACACCTGAAGAAAGGTTCACTGCTCCATCTCAGTTTGACCCTCATCCCCCGGGGTCTCTCCAAATTCTCCTGGCCCTTCCATCTGTCCCAGTGTCTGCTAGCTGTCTTTAAGTCCTTTCACCCACTGGTGTGCTGAGCCATCTTAGTCTTTTCCCACCACCAACTTGCTTTCATGCATTCCCC